GATGCATGCCAGGGGGTTAGTTTGGGATTTAAGTCTGGTTTGAGGCTACTGAGCTTGTTTATTGTACCGGTTTTGGCGTCGATAATGGTTTTGTGTGATTTTGGTTACAGGTACACCAGCGGAGGTGCGTCCTGGTCAACGAGTCGAGTGAGGGGGATCGAAAGTTTCTTTTTGTTCAGCCCTTGTACTGTGAGTGATGATACATTCTCTATGCTTGTGTTTTCATACTATGATTTTTTGACATGTTGATTATGTGGTTTGAAAATTGTGTTTTGATTATATGTTACTTGGATATGTGTTAAGTGTTTTATGACTGTTAGTGAGCTATGTGGGTATGTGATGTTGGTTTTGAGACATAAATTGTATATACATATGTATACTTGTTTTTGACTGTACGTGGGGATGGTATCGTGTGGTATGTTGTGATTTGTGGACAGTAGGAACTCAACTAGAGTGCGATAATCTGTAGCATCCAGTGGTGAGTTAGTCTGAGTCCATGAGGGGACGGCAGGAACTCGGCTGGAGTGCGGTGATCCGTAGTATCTAGTGGTGGGTAGGTCTGAGTCAAGTGATGTGATTTGATGTTTGGTTTATGGTATTCTTAAGCGTATGTTGTTATGTTTTATTGATCACTGTATGCGTATGGTTTTGAACTTGTGGCATGATGTATATCCTGACACGCATAGATTAGGTATCATTCGTAGTCACTGAGTTTCGCGACTCATAGTTTTTAAACTTTTCAGATTGGGTTGCTGTCATCGTCTCGAGTAGCGTGCTAGTTTTCAGAGTGACTGTCAGAGGATTTGATAGATGTATGGGCACTGTTTTTGTATCTGTTCTTTTTGCATTCTATAGTAGTTTCCTTGTACTCTCAGACAGGATCCCGGGTGGTATCTTAAATGTTGTATTACTGCATTTAGTGTATATTTTGTTTCTTCAAAGTTTGACTGCTTTGTTGAGACTTACTATGATTGATGGATCCTGTGCCGGTCACGGGCCCGAGGTCGGGGCGTGACACATAAACTACAACTTAAGTTATATATATATATATTTTTTTTTTTTCCTACCCTCAATGATAAAAAAAAAGTACTCTTTTTGCCTTTAAAGATTTAGGAGTTTTTAAACTTAAGCCGATGATCACCCCATTAAACATGCTTATGCAAAATAAAGTACAAAATACATGATGAGGGTTTTGAGTTGAGATGTTACACCTTGTGTTTATTTATGGAGCCGTTATATTTTTGCTTCCATCATTGACTCATTTACGACATTTTTGTTATGGTTGGATCTGTAGGCTCAACGGGTGAATTAACTTTATTTTTAGATTATGATCAGTGAATTATTATCTCAATATGTGATATTCTCTATATCAGTTATACCAGTTTTACGAACTACTTTTATTTATAATGTTATGCAATATATTCATGTTTTACTGGTTTTAGTTGGAGGACCATTCATTGGGACGCAAGTCTCACAACTTATTTATTTTTCAGGTTCCAACAGTAGAAACTTGTAGATGTATCACGTGTATCTAGCACAACATCATTTCGAGTTTAGAGAGGTTGGGCCTTACTCATGATAATATTAGCTGTTTTGGGTTGTTGCTTGGGGAGTGAAAATTAAATAGTTGTATTATATGTAGATTTTATTTTGGAAAAGAAAAGTTACATAAAGTAATTATGTTTTCAGTAATGATAATGACTTAATTCTCCAGTTATGTTATTCAGTTATTTGAATGTGAGTTATTTAAAGGACTCAGCAGGTACGATAGTTGAATAAGGTTTGACTTTCTCCGGCGAATCCCGAGTATCGAATGTCGCTAAACCCTATTCCATTATCACACATCGCTTAAGTTATGGGGTGGGATGTGACATAGACTGTTTCTCATTTTGAATATCAACGTACACGTGGTTTTAAAAATAAACAATATTTGGTTATAAAACATATTTGGGAAAAAATAAATAAGATTAGAGAAATGTCACTCACCTGAGTAAGAAGCCTAAGGATGTAGTTTCGAAGTTATCAGTTTATGGTTTGCCTTAGCTCGATTTTTTCTTCCCTTACAGATAAGATACATAAATGTGTAAAAATAACACCCTAAATACAAAGTGCAAAATTATGCTTATATCCTAAATTATATGAATATGAACTTTTATTCTTGCTCTCAACATTTGGGTTCAAATCAAAAATACCTTTAATCTCTATCAATTTTTTTGGTTCAAGCCAAAAATGTCTTTGCATCTCTTTTTATTTAACATCATCCCCCTCACTCTCCTTCTCTCTATTTTCAACCATAATGACAAATTAAGATTCACAAAATCTACCATAAATATAAATTCACCCGATATAGCAAAATTTAAAGCTATTTTAGCTAAATCTACTAAAATCATGCAATATTTCCTATGGGTAAGTTAAACCTGCCTCTCTCTCACTACAACATACAAACACCATCAAATACAAAATTTACACTGATTAAAAGTTAAAAAATAGGGAGTAGAAGCAAGATCTATACGTATTTTAAGCAAAACTAATACAAATTATGCATTTTCTTCTTATGGACGAGGTTCATCCGCTCCCCCTCTCTATAGCACGCAAATCCACACAAAAGAATATTTTAGACTGATTGAAAGCTATAAAATTGAGAGGAGAAGCTAAACATGTGAAAATATTGAAGAAAATCCAAATGGGGTTTGAGATCTAGCCATTTTCATACATTTTCCTCCATTTTCCTTGTTTTCCTATTATTTCCTGTTTCTCTCTCTAAAACCTACAAAAATGAGCATTTTAAAAGGCTCTAGAAGGCAGCCCATGGTTGAAATAAATGGGTCACTTAGTCTCAAAAGACAATTTTGCTCGCCTTTAAAATTATCATCATTTTAATTTTTATAAATTTTTGGATGAATTTTAAGTATACTAGGATATCTTTCAAATTTTTGTTTTATAGTATTTAAGAGTTCAAGAAGGTTTAGGTGTAATAGAAGGGGTTAAAAAAATCCTAAATTTTTTTTAAAAAAGCTAAAAATTGTGACCTAACGTGCTACGATGCACCAATTCTAATAGCCATTGTGCTATAGCGCTAGCGTGCCCAAAATCCAACATGCAGCACGTTGCTACATTAACGTAAAGTAATTTTTTTTTTTTTTTACAAAAACTTAACTTGTTTCCAAATTTTCATATATACTTCCCTTGACCTTAAATTCCTTCCAAATAAATTTTAAAACACAACTAAAATTCATAAATTTATATAAAATTAAAATCGAAATCGGTTTGGAGTGTTACAGTTTATTCAGTTTAATTCAATTAACTAAACACTCCTAATTATATTTAACACTTAATAAGTAAATATATTTGACTATAGTTTAAACATAAATAGTCACTAATTAATATCACCAAACATATTTAATTTTAAAATATCAAATAGAATATTTTTAACTTATAAAGCATATCATGAAAAATTTATGATAATTTATTACAGTGTTTACTGTTTCACTATATTCGTATTCGAGAGTCCGTGGCCGCGTCGACCTTCATGTTCATCCAGGTGGGTTGGTGCACTACACGTTCTCATACCTTCAGCCAATTTTCTTAAATGGATAAAAATCAAACCCATTTTTACTGCCAATGGCTCCACAGCCTAGTCACAACAAGGCGAATTTGGGGAATTTAATATGATCATATGTTAATTGGTGAAAATATTATATAAATTAAATTTATACATTTTAAAAATATAAAGATAAAGCGGTCAACTTTTTTTTAATATTTATTATGTTATTTATAAATATTATGTATAATTATTTATTTGAAAAATAGATTATTGCTAATTAAGTCGGATCGGCCTCCGCATACTTGAAAAGAAAGTGGTGGGTTTGGGTAGAACTATCGGGTTGGATTGAATTGTGGGCTTGTTTCAAAGAAGGGTAACGGTTGGACAAGAGTCCACCAACTCATATCTGCTAGCACGTCTATCATCCGGGCGGCGGTGACGCTGGCCGCCGGCCTCCTACGAGACAAACGTCAATTTGAAGTAAGGTTACATTCGCGGCGGACGGCAATTAGTAATTCCGTTACATCCAATGCCCGTTCACCGACTCTAACCAGGGAGATTACTACAAATTATTAGATACCAGGGGCAATGAGTGTAATAAAAAGAAATTTTGTTTGCTGTCAATGCAGTGGTATTGTCAAGGTCTCTGATGTATTTTATTTTTATTTTTAAATACTTCTCCGTCTTTATCTTCTCAGTTCATTTCATACAACAGGGAAGAAAGTTAATAAAAGTAAGATCTTTGAAAGAGGTTTGGGCATTTCTTCTTTTTTTTTTAAAATTCTATGTAATGTATTTTACAATTTTTTTTTATTATGTTAAATTTTGGTAGACTTGCACATAAAAGGATTAATGCTAGACAGAAATGAAAGTCTAGGGATTTGATTTCGCAAAAAAAAATTACTACAGGGACCACATTTCTTAAAATAGTAAAGTTTAGGACCAAAAGTGAACTTTCGCATCAGAAAATAGGAGGGCACGGCTTTAAACATGGGGCGAAGGCCGAAGCTGAGGGGTTAAAGGAGGCTGGGTGACCAACATCAGAGTAAGTGTTAACTGCTGTGGCGGCATTAGGGTTTAGCAAATATTGCTGGAAGAGGACGGGTGGGGACAGCCGATCACGATGGTGAGCAGAAATCTCACACACCACAGAATGTTTAATCAAGGACGATTGGGTGCAGATCTTTATCGTTCCTTATTGCTTTGCTGCACGAGCTTCAACATGTAGTTTAAGGCGTTGATTTCGTGTGAAGCTAATGCTATTGATCTCTGCATGTATGTGGCCTGAGAAGTCCCCTATTATAAGATACAGTTTAATTGAGATATATGCACTATACGTTTAGTTTTGAGTTGGTTTTTCTCTTAACGTAATATCATTTTAGCTGCGACATTTGAAAAGTGATAAAAAATGCTCATAATCAAAATATGGTAGACAGAAAAAGTTTAGGGAGAAGAAATGAAGAATGGCGAGAAAGTAATCGTTTAGAGTCTCAGCTTTATAGCATTTCATTCAGTTCATTTTGTAATTTGAGTTCTCTAGAGCTCTCAGGATTCCGTTATATTTGCTGTATATCCATAAATATTATACCGACTTCTTGTTAAGCACCGAAGCACGATTAGGAAAATGACTCTGCCCTTTTAATGAATTTGCGCATGGATCTTGATCTAATAATGTAATCAAAAGTTACTTTAATCCAAACTTTTTTGGAAAAGCAAATTTTCTGATAGAAATACCTTATCATCTTGTTCTATAAGAAAATTTGATTGGAAAATTTTGAATTCCGAAGGTATGAAATTGCCTATCCTAAAATAGAACATGACAAAAATCTAATACTAACACAAGTAGCTCACTTTTTGATGCTTTACCATAAACACTTGAATAAATTCCTGTAAATATATGCACATGCATACAGCCATTTGGTCAATTTCAATTTACATGAAAGGAGTTTGATATTTTTGCAGGCCCCAAAGAAAGGAATAAAATTGGCTGCTGCAGCGAAGAAGAAACCTGTATTGCTCATCAACTCGTAGTACTACACAAGCACACCAACATGTCCCACACATGTTGTTCAATTAACAAGTCAATTCTTACATTGGGTTACACAAAGGCCTGGTTTTTTATTGTTTATGCTCTGAATTAACAAATGTTTTGCATTTGGGCTGCAGGAAAAGGTTGCGAACCCATTGTTTGAGAAGCGGCCCAAGCAGTTTGGTATTGGAGGGGCACTGCCTCCAAAGAAAGATCTTCACCGGTTTGTGAAGTGGCCACAACTCTGAGGGTAATGTGGAAGTTTATTTCTGTTTTTGAGTGGAAAATTTTGCTTCTGTTATTCGGATACGTATCTGAAGGTTTATTTTATTTATCTCTAGAATATGGTCTGACAATCATATTTAGCAACAGATATCTTTATTTATTACCACAATGTAGTTGTCAATGCTTAAGTTTTAGCCTTGTTAGCTATAGTTTGCACTGCACTAACCACTCTATGCCAAACTATATTTACATATTCCTATCCAATTTTATTGCAAGTACTGGGGCAAAGTTTGGTCACTTGTTGGCTACATCGATATTATATTGCTAGTTGAATGTGTTTCCACCATTTTTGTTTTTATATTATTATTATTATTTTCCCTGAGGGGTCATTGAGAGGGGTTGTTTTGTACTTATGGTTGACTCAACACCCAACTGAATATAAGCTTGAGATTATTCCAAATGCTGGCATATTTGTGGTTTTTCTTTCTTTTTAAGATTGTTCATGTGGTTCTTATTTCATTGTTTTGGAACTGTTTCATTGTCAAAATTTGCTTGGTTTCTATCTTTACCCTGTTAAGCATTGGTTGCTTGTTCCTGATATCCTCTCTGGACCATCAATTCTAGAAAATTATTAGTATTTTTTTGTCCCAATTCAGAATATAAACTGGTGTGACTTGTTTATATTTTCATAATCTCCCCAGCTACAAGCCTATTCAGGTTGCTTCTGAAATATAGGCCCGAGGATAAGGCAGCAAAGAAGGAGCGCCTTCTCAAAAGAGCTCAGGCTGAGGCTGAAGGAAAAGCACCTGAGTCCAAGAAGCCTGTTGTTGTGAAATATGGCCTGAACCATGTCTCCTACCTTATTGAGCAGGTGACTTTTTAGTTTTTGTTGGGTAATCTTTTGTTGCTCTGAGTGAAGTTGGTGTTTGAAGTTTTTCTATTCAATGCAGAACAAGGCACAATTAGTGGTCATTGCACATGATGTTGACCCAATAGAATTGGTAGTGTGGCTTCCAGCCTTGTGCAGGAAAATGGAGATACCTTACTGCATTGTGAAAGGAAAGTCACGCCTCGGAACTGTATGCATTTTCCTTTCTAGGTTGTGGAAGCATGTGCACTCCTTTTCATTGTGATTCTTTATCCTATAGATATCTAATTTTCATGGCATACTTGACAGATTGTGCACAAGAAGACTGCAGCAGTCTTATGTTTGACCACTGTCAAGAATGAGGATAAGTTAGAGTTTATCAAAATCCTCGAGGCAATCAAGGTGATTGATAGTCTTTATGATTTTTCTTGAATGTATATTACAGAATCTTTCCCCATTGTTTTCTCAGTTGTTTTAATTCAAAACTTTAATTGTGGTTCAGGCAAACTTCAATGACAAGTATGATGAGTACAGAAAGAAATGGGGTGGTGGTATTATGGGTTCCAAATCACAAGCTAGAACCAAAGCCAAGGAAAGACTTCTGGCAAAGGAAGCTGCACAGAGGATGTCTTAAGCACTTCACCATACGTCAGACGATATTCTTTGTCCTAATTTGTTTTCTTTTTTGGCTTTATTTTTCCTGTTCAATTTTGTCGGGATTCTACCTAAATGGCAGGTGATCATGTTTACTTGGTTCAATTTTGACCTTAGCGTCAGGAAAGTGAATTATTTTTCTTTACAAGCCTAAGAGCCCCTGATGCTACTTCGGCGATTTATTCATAGAATTTGGACATAGCTTGTGCAGTTTGTTTTACTTTGTACTAATCTTTACTTGAAAGTTCTTTAGTTCTAATCAGTGGCATGTAGTAGATTAGTTAAAAATCAGGGGTAAAGTGAGTTTTTCCATCTGATTTGCGGTACTTGTGCTTAATTACTGGGAGATGTGATTAGGAATGTAAATCACAGCCAGTGCTATGTGAATATACCAAATCTAGAAGACCTACTGTCATCGATTAGGTAGCGGGAGAATCTCTAGATTGCCAATTTGCACCGTAAATCCAACGAACACGAGGCATTTCTTATTCAGTGAATATATTTTGTGTCATTACAAGCTAATTATTCAACAGTCTGGTACTAGCCTCTGTCTGTAAGTACATCGTTTTGGTTAGTGTTTTTCACGGCGGGAAAATTTGAAGAATAGAACCTTTAAACTATTGTCACATTAGCACTTACTTTCAAGGGGGCATTCGGATGGAGAGATAAGACATAAGGTGATAAGATATAATTAGATAAATTTATTAAGGGGATAAATTTTATTACATGTTTGGTTTAACAGATTATAAATTGGATAAAATTTTTGAAAAGTAGGATAAAACTAAAAGTTTACTAAAAAATTTTTAGATATAAAAAAAAAAAGAGAAAGAAGATGGAGCCAGCTAGATTGGATCGCTTGATTGAGCCAGCCAGCTGGCTCGGATTGCTATCTGTGTTGTCTTTAACCCAGAACTCTGCATCGTCGTCGGCGGATCGGACCTCTTTTCAGCCAGATCGGACTTCCTTCTAGCCGGATTGAGCCTAGTTGACCTCCTTCCAGCCATCTGCATCGTCGTCCTCCTTTCCAGACGTCGTCGTCATCGTCAGGCCACAAGCGTTGGCAGGAGTCGTCGTCGTCGGGCCACGAGCGTCGGCGGCCCAGTTGACCTCCTTCCAGCCAGATCGGGCCGCACGTTGTCATCCTCCTTCCAATCGACCTCCCTTTGCTTCCTTATTGTCAGCGTCGTCAGGCCACGAGCGTTGGCGGGAGTCGTTGTCGTCCTCCCTCTACGTCGTCGTCATCCGGATTTGTTACAAGCCAACCAAACGCATGATAAGGTAGGATAAGTTTATCTTATTCTGTCTTATCACACCTAACCTGTCACAGCCTGAACCCAGGCCTGTGACCGGCACTAGGGTCCCCGACCCTAATCAGTCTCACAACGACAAAATCATACTCAAACCAATCAAAGCATATATATATATATATATATCTCAAACCATCCAATATAAATTTAGGATCCTATCTGAGTGATAAGGGGAGCATTAGAGTACAAAATAGATAAACAAGGAACTCGCTCGTATATCGAACAGAGCTGTAGAGTATCGCCTCAACCCTGGCACACAGCTCGAGAACCGCAACCCAAATATGAAAAATTTATAAAAAGTAAGTCGCGAAACTCAATGAGTACAGATGATACATAGTCTATGCATGTTGAACTATACATCACGCCACCAGTTCAAAACCATACATATACAGTGATCAGTAAGACATATCAACCATATGCTTAAGAGTATTGTCAACTAAACATCACATCACATCACAGCACATCACCTCGCAGCACATTATATCATTGGACCCGAGCCTACTTACCACTAGACGCTACAGATTCTCGTACTCCAGTCGAGTTCTTGTCATTGCAGTCACCTCACACAACCCAAGCCGACTCATCACTAGACATTACGAACCGCCATACTCCAATCGAGTTCTTAGCATTGTAAGCAACTCACACGACCCAGGCCAACCCACCACTGGGCGTTACGGATTACCGTACTCTAGCTAAGTTCCTGGCGTCCCTAAATCACATCACATGCAACTATCCTCACATATAAGTCACGAACAAGTATACATACAAATATACAGTTCACATCTAAACCCACATCACATATCAACACGACTCACTAACAGTTCACAAAATACATAACACTTGTCCCAAGTATATCATATAATCAAATTACAATTTCCAAATCATATAATCACGTCAGAAAACTGCAGTATGAAACAGGCATATAAGGGGCATCATCACTCATTATATAAGAGCTGAACAAAAAGAACTCTTGATCACCCTCACTCGACTCCTGATTTGGATGCGCCTGCTCTAATGAATCTGTAGCCAAAATACACAAAACTGTCACCATCACCAAAATCAGCACAAGAAACTAGCTCTACAACCTAAAACTAGTTCAACCCTCACCCTGACGCCATGGCACGCATCTCGAGGCACCATTGTCCCATCACCGGAACCCACCCAACTCACAGACACTCATTAACCTAGCTTAACAAACCTTGAACCACAACGATCTAGCCTCAAAGCCTTCAAACTACAATGAACCAGCTTTCAAAACCCTGGAATTGACCTAACTCGATCTAAAACTACCTCTGATCGAACTAAACCGACCACAAAACCTTCAAAATCAGATTTAGAAGGCTCAAAAACCTTAGAAACCAGTTTGAACCAACCAGAAAACCCTTGAATTGGCCCTAAACCGGACCAAAAACCCTAATTCTAAGTACCAGCACAAAAACCGAGCCCGGTTTACCTTGAACCGGGCATCCAAAAATCACCAAACTTCATGATTACCTAGGTTTCCTCATGATGAATTAGGAACCGACCTAAAAACCAATGAACTAGTTGGCCAACACGAATTCCACTAAACCGGCTAGTTTACCTTGAACCGACCATCCAAAAATCCCTAAACCCACTTGGTCTGATAGCTCTCGTCCCCCTGAACCAAGAACCGATCAAACTTCCAAATTCTATGTTGAATTGACCACTGAACCGGCAGGTCAAATCTACTGGCCGGTTTAGTCAAACTTTCCCCTTTTTTTTCAAATTAGCCGGCTCAGCTCGGCTCACCAGCTTGGCTCACCACACGGCTCGGCTCAACGGCTTGGCTCAACGGCTTGGCCTAGCCCAACCCCTTATTAGCCCGACCCAGACTTGGGCTGGGCCAGCCCAATAGGCATAAGGCCCACTGGCTCCGATCCATCTTGGGCCAAGTTAGCTCAGTGAATTGAGCCGACTCGCCCAATTTGAGTTGGACGGACCCGAATATCATCCGGGTTCGTCTCCTTCACCCGGAACCCACATCCCTAACCCGATTCACAACTCGGGTCTGCAATGCAGCCCGGATCGAAGCAAACCCCAAAAACTTGGATCTGGATGCTTACCTGGATCAATCGACACCCAAGACCCTCCAATCTGAGCCAGACGAACTTCCTAAAGCTTTTAATTAGAACAAATAAGCTGCCCAAAAGCCAGAAAAAAGCCGTTCGACCCTCCGTTGACTCCACGGCCAAGAAATCTCCAAATCCTCTCGTTTCTCTCTCTAAAACCCCAAATTGAGGGCTTTGATAAGTGTCCTAAAAACACACGCAATGGTGCGAAAGTCCACTAGAAATTCATCACACACGCGGTCAAAACAGCAAAAACCACCAGTCGGTCACTATTCACCCAGATTTTCTGTAAAGATTACTATTTAGTCCCTCAAACTTTAGTTTTCTACAATCCAATCCCTCATATTTTTAATTTGACCCCCAAATCCCTGAATTCTTACAATTACACCCTTGAGTTTTAATTAAATAAAAATCTAGGTTATTATACAACCGAATACCCCCTAAAGTGTAAAATGTAACAATTTAACCCGTAAAATTTGTATTCACAAGTAAAATAAGAAAATAGAATCAATATACTTGTTTAAATTACTAATTTTTTTATTTCACGTTGTATATGTAGTTCATAATTTAACAAGTATTCTTTATAAAATAATAGAATTTACTGTAACCAATATATATATATATATATTTATATATAATGAACCTCTTACCCTACACCATTCATTATTTATAATTTTATAAATATTATTTGTATAAGAACAACTTCATTATAATTAAAAAATATAATTAATTTAAAAATTTCTCTCTCAATCAATTTGAAAAAATAACAACTTTACTGGAATTAAAAAGAATTTGTAATTAATTAAAAAAAATCTATCCATCAGAGGTTGTGTGCACAAGGGAGGACACGAACAGAGTTAAGAAATATCATAGTAAATTAAGAATATAATTAAAGTGTATTATACATAAGGGAGGACACGAACAGAGCTGAGAAATATTATAGTAAATTAAGAATATAATTAAAGTATATTATAGTAAATTGAATGAGTATATTAACATTGTTAAATGGACAAAAAATTTTAAACTGGTCTTTTAGATTTTTTTCCCCACTAACTACCATCCCAAGGGACTTATGATTTATCAAAAAAAAAAAAAAATTGCTTGTGAGTAACAAACTTAAAAGCTAGGATAAATTAAAATATGTCTTCCTTAAAATTGAAGAAATTTTAAAATTATTTATTAATTTTTAATATTTTAATAAAATTATTTTTAAATTTTTAAATTTTAAAAATAATTTTATAATACAAATAAAATTTAAGACATAATTTGAAATCCTTGAAATTCGACAAGACAAAATTTAACATTATGATGCCCGCGCTGCAAGCAGAAGAAGATCATCCGTTTTTCTAATAATGCGACCCGGCCACCAAAATACAGAAAATCCTAATCATCATTCGAGGGACATGTCGTTCTCTCTCATTCGTCGGTGGCCGACCTGTATCACAGGGCCGTGAGAGTGTCATCCTGTATTGCACCTATAGAGAGAGGAGAGAGAGGGAACGCTGAGACTCACGCTCAACTGACTCGACTCAATTAGTTGAACTCGTCTTGCCTAGCTCGAGATGGAGAGCTCACAGGACCCGAATTTAAAACTCCTAGTTCCCGCCGACGAACACCAGCTCGATCTTTACACCGTCCCTGTCCACTCCAGTAAGTTTCTCTCTCTCTCTTCCCGCGCTCCTCTTAACGCTAGCTAACCTCATCTTCTCCTCTCTCCCTCTAACCCTAACCCTAATTTTCTCCCCTGCAGGCTGGTTCTCGTGGGATGATATCCACGAAACCGAGAAATTCCACCTCCGAGAGTTCTTCGATGGGAGCTCGATCACCAGAACCCCCAAAATCTACAAGGATTACCGAGATTTCATTATCTCCAAGTACAGAGAGGAGCCCACCAGGCGGCTCACCTTCACCGAGGTGCGTAAATCGCTGGTAGGGGATGTTAGTTTGCTGCACAAGGTGTTCCTGTTTCTGGACAGGTGGGGTTTGGTCAATTTTGGTGTACCTGGGGTTGAGGATGAGTTGGTGCCAGAGGAGAGTAGGGGCAGGTGGAAGGTTAGGCTTGAGGAAGGGGCCCCGCATGGGCTTCGGGTCGTGGCGGTTCCTAATTCGTTAAAGCCTGTGACAGTGCCGCCCCCTGTGGCTGATCACGGCGGTGAGGCGTTGGAGAATGGATTCAAACTTCCTCCCCTGACGTCTTATAGAGACGTGTACAGCGAGCAGAGGGGGATGGTGTGCAGAAACTGCAAAGAACGTTGCGAGTTTGGGCATTACGAGTGCACAAAGGTGCGTCCCAGTTTGCTTTCCTGATGATACTGTTTTATTCAGTAATATAAATTTCAACCTTTCTCGGCCACATCCCCCCCCCCCCCCCCAAAAAAGGAACCTTTAACGTTCTTGTGCGTTGTCTTGAGCCTGGTCTTATGCAAAACAACTATATACGTATTACTATTACGCAATTTTAATAATTATATCCATTTGCTTTTGGGATTTTTTTCAGAATAGAAGTTTACCTTAGATAGTTATCTGCTGATTACAAAGAGGAAAATATGACTAATGAAAGAATAAAAAAAATTTAAGAAACCATGGGTTTATATCTGTGCATGCGAGTTGCTATTGGTCTTTTCCGGTAATATTGGCAGATTTGTTTGAATTGTGTCAATTAGAGAACTATACTCTGGTCAATATGAGATTCTGAAACTAGAAAGAGGTTTCAGAACCATGCTTCAAGTAATGGAATGCATTGCAAATATTTATGTCAATATTTTTCCAATTGACATGCTTCTAATTTTAATTAGTTACTTATTTGTCCCCAAATTTGTGACGTGAGCTTGAATGTCTATGTAGCATGAAAAGGAGGAAAATCGGGGGAAAAAAGGTTCTATGCTCCATATTTACCTTGGCTATGGAAAGTACATGGCCTATATAATTGCTTTTCTAGACAAGAGATTTTTCTTTGTCAAGTTTTCTTGGAGAATTTGTTACTAAGTTTGGAGTTTCCTCAAGACTAAACTATGGGGTAAATAATTACGGAAGCTGTAATTGTTGTATTTCATTTTTCTCCTTTTGTAATATTTCCGGTGACTGTAGAAACTTTTTTATACTGCACCTTCCATATGGATTCTGTTGTTGCATCTTATTCTGCTTCTCAAATTGGTAATGGGTCATTTAAAATTCTACTAACTTAAGAAAGATTATTAACTGCATGTTTTTGCAAGGAAATATACAAATTGTAAGCATTCTGTGTTGTGGTCCTAAAAGGTTTATTTGGTGAGGAGTATTTGTATTTTTGCATTCACAAGGTGTCTTGCGTCTTTATATAAAAGTTGAGCAGTCAAGCTACAAGAGTGACTTAGCTGTAACGTGGCCAATCAGCCGAGCTACTATTTTGTTCTATATTTTGAATTGTTTAGTTTGGTTCCATATTCTAGCTACTGCAGTTTTGTTCTTCCCTAGAACATCTTCCTTGAGACATTGTGAATGGATAATTTCCCATGGTAAGGTATAGGATGTCTTTGATTCCTCCAATACTGGTCCCAACATTTGCCTAGTTTTTCTGGACAAAGTATTTGTAATATAGAATCCATTAATGGGCTACCATAAGCATACGGTTGTGTACATTTTCATGGGCATTTTTAGGACGATCCTAGCTAGCCAGATAAGTTGCCAAATAATCCATTATACCACCAACAGGGGTTTACTGGCTTGTCCAATTCCCAATGGATTTTTCTTATTTGTTGTCAAATGTAACTCATCGACACTTTAAGCGCTATAAGGAATTTTTTGATTTCATTTTTCCTCTCTTCCTCAACACTCCCCCCCCCCCCCCCCATAAAAAAAAATGTTTGTGTGCATTTATGTTTTGTTTTGTTTCTTTTTTTTTTTTTTTTTTTTTTTTTAATGTGAAACATCCTAACAAATCTGGGCTGGATCATTAATGAAGCTTTCTTTTACTTCCTGCCAGTAAATTGGTTATGTAATGCCTTTTCTGTATCAGGAGGGAAGCTTCAATATTTGTGCCAAGTGCTTCAAGAATGCGAAGTATGGGGAGAACAAGTCTGCAGATGATTTCAAGTTCATTGATTGTGTTCCAGAAACTGGGAGTAGTGGAGTTATTTGGACCGAAGCAGAAACTTTACTTCTTTTAGAATCTGTCTTGAAGCATGGAGATGACTGGGGTCTTGTTGCTGAAAATGTTAAAACTAAGAGTAAAGCAGATTGTATATCAAAGTTGATACAGCTACCATTTGGGGACCTTATGTTGGGAGCTGCCCAAAGAAAAGTTAGATTGTGGGAAAATGATGGCAACATGAGCAGCATCAAACATGGTCAGGTTGCTTCATCAGAGTGCCATCTGCCAGAGAATATCAAGTCAGAGGATGAAAGCAATGATGCCAAAATTGAGAGACAGCAGAATGGCAATGCTGAGAATGAACAGCATAGTGACACTGAGAATCAACAGAATGGTGATGCTGAAAACCAAGTTGCTCCTTTGAAGAGAAAACATGCAGAGCTTTCTTCAGATTCTGGGACTGCATTGATGTCCAAGGTAGGAGTCTTTTTGGTTCTTATTCATAAGTTTTAGCAAGATGTTCCATGAGAATGCACTCTTTGGCTCTTGAGCAAAGTTTTATATTTGTTTCATTCTAGGAGGTTCTTGTCATTGCAATTTCTGGTATAGGCACCAGGCAGTCATTTATCTTTCTGTTGTTGGGTAACATTATACCACAAATGTCAATATACATAAAAATTCTTAGAAAATTTCTCCCTTGTCATGGATGGATATGGTTTTTTTGTGTTATGGCCATTGTTGATTGGGGGGTTGGCTCTCTGTGGTGCTACTTAAGAACAGCTTGCACTCATTAGCTGGAAAAAAAACTTAATGGCTAATTTTAATATCTAAAGATGCTTTTCCCTCCAAAGCATTTATTGAGAAGCAACTTGTAAGTAATTGCCATATATACCATTAATGAGTTGCAGTGATGTGGAGGGTAGCTTTCTTTTGTGGGGTTCTCTTGTCTGTTACAACATTGAGAATTACATTTTGGGCTGTTTGGAATCTTGGGATGCTTATTTTCAGTTAGCAGGTATAGTTGTTTAGGTTATTGAATCTAGTGCTCCTGCCAATTACATTGCTACTCCGGCAAAACAGATGGTGGAGTTTAATGAAGCCTTTGGTTCGCTCCATAAGTGTTGTACTTTCTATTTTTTTTCTTCTGAAATTTTTCTTAGTCCAGAACACAGAAGAGGTGCCATTAAACAATAAAGCTAAAAGCTTAGATGCTGAATAAGATATATAATATATGTTTTAGCAAAGTTTATTTATGATTTATATCATATTGGTGTCTGAATTCTGCTCTTACCCCTGCTTTGAACATTGTACTCCCATCAGGTAGCTCTCATCTCTTCCATGGTTGACCCACATGTTGCAGCTGCAGCTGCTGGGGCTGCTATTTCGGCACTCTGTGATGAAAGCCAATGTGAAAGAGAGATATTTGATGATAATCATGATGATAATGAAGATGAGGAGTTAGGATCTTCCCCTCAAAATAACTACCAGGAAAGGTTGTTTTTCTTTCTACTCTTCCCAATTTTCTTTCCTATTAGAATTAATTTTGAGCTTTTGTGTTAGTTCTACATTTTTTGGTTTACTTGTTCTTTATTGCTTCAGGTCCCTTCAGATTGATGGTTCAGTGGTTGAGGAAAGGCCTACTGAAGTAGGTATATCATTTCAGGCTCTAACCTATTTCAATCAACAAAATTTTGTAACTTCTTTTTTTAGACAAGTGAAAATATTAGGTTGAGTTTGGTAGAGTTTTTGTTTTCCTATATGTTTACAGGCGAACTTAAAACACTTCTCTTATTTCCGTTAATTTGTTCAAGGAATGAACATAGAAACCTGTTTGGGGATGGGAGGTTGGCTAAATAAATGAAAATATATACATGTAAACAGATATTTTCTCTTTTGAAAAAAATTGTAAAATTTGGCAACAATTCACAAACTTTTGGGAAAGAAACTATTTGACAAACATATTGACATTGCCAATTCACAAAGTTTTGGAAATATAGTTAGAAAACTGCAACTCCAATTAATACTGAAAGTTCTTTGAAGTTTTTCCATATTTAGTTATGCTTCTTTTGGGAGCTAATTACCAATATTATGCAGGTTTTTACATTACGTGATTTCCTTATGGTTTCTTTTTACATTTATTTTCTATTGCAGAATCTCAGGGGACATCCTCCGGAAAGAACGCAATACCGCTTAGTTTTCGAATGAGAGCTGCTACAGCAACAGCTCTTGGTGCTGCTGCTGCTCATGCCAAGTTGTTGGCAGATCAGGAAGACAGAGAAATAGAATACTTAGTTGCTGCCATTATTGAAACACAGGTAATCATGTTTTTAGTTATTTCTACTGCTCTTTTGTCCCAGATAAGATTGCTTTCAAGCTTGAAATGTTGGATGTGATATACATAATCTGTTGGAAAATCAAGTAATTTTCTTTATTGGATTAACGTTGATGTTTGTGCTTTTTGTAAATGTTTAAACAAATAGATGAAGAAGTTGCAAAGCAAAATCAAGCATTTGGATGCTCTGGAACTCATAATGGAGAAGGAGCATGTGATGGTGGAGGATCTGAAAGAGTCTATGATAACAGAGCAGATAAATGTTTTAAGAAAGACGTTCAGTGAAGGGATATCAAGAGGGAAGGACCAAACCTCTGTAAAATCTCAGACCGGCAGTGTACTTTAATGGTGTTTTACTTAAAATATATTATTTGTTTTAGAGTTCAGTAGGAAAATAGGTTATTCATATCGAACTTGCCAGGCTTCTAGTGTATGTAACATATTATAATATTGAGTAGGCAGAACTTGCTTTCCAATCATGTGTTCTTCACTGTTCTTGCATAAGCTGCTTTTGTTTTAGCTGTTGCAAAGTATAAAGGAAAGCACACAGGACTTTGGTCTAATTTGGCCACTTCATCACTACATAGTTTGCACAGATGTTCGCCTTCTGGGAGCAGCATAAAGCTTTTTATTTATCAACTTTAGTGTGAGTCTCTCTATCTCTCCATCAACCTAGGCGGATGTAGAACTTGCCTTGTGGTCCAGAAGCGCAGGTTGCTATGACGTATTTCTCTTGCAAGGCTTTCTTGCATTCGGCAATGCACTGGGGCTGGGTGCATGGGTTGAGTTGGATTCCAAATGCACCCTCAGCAACCTCTGGGATCATAAGCAGCATCCACACAGCCACCGGCACCGCCATGACCAGGTATTTAGCTTCCATTGGTTGAGCCAATCCGGCCTTTGCTTTTGCAACCAAATTCTGTCTTGGAGATGCAAAGCCTTGTCTACCCCTGTATGTGTAGGAGTTCATACCTGGCCATGAGCTTGAGATGTTTCATGTGTGGGTTGTTGTTGTTGTTTTTTTTTTTTTTTTTTTTTTTTAAGCTTTTGGCTTTTTAAAAATACTTTTATATTTAGGTGCTGGGTTACTCGACACTTTATATTTGAGTGCTTGCTTTGTTTTTTATGTTTTTCAATTTAAACAGTATAGCTCTTTTATATTTATGTGATGAGTTGTTAAAAAAAACATAGGTTATTAGAGTGGAAAATAGGCTTTTTATGTAGAAGAGGCCGAAAGAGGTGTTGGTTGGTTCTCAACTTTTTAGTATGTTTAGTTAAGGAAAGTGAAGATTTATGTTAAACGAGCTTTTTCGTTTGGAGGGCTTGGGGATCATTATGGTTTTATCCTTTGAAAAGAAATGACGACGAAGTGTCTGGCTTCTAATTGGAAGAAAGAACATCAGAGGTTGCTTACCAAACTGTCTTCAGGAGACCGGACTCTTTATTGTGAAACAAACGGTTAATAGTTTGCGTGTAAAATATCTTGGTGACAAAATTGTGCACCGAAGGGCTCATTGTCCTGGCCAGGAATTATTGTCCATTATCGGGAAGTCTGAAACCTACTTGCAGCCTTTCCACTTTAGCTGTAGTCGGTGTACAAGTTGATTGCTTACAAAATGCATCTCCTTCTCCTTCCATGTGTGTTTCCTGGTTTGAGATCTAAAGTCAAATTGGAAAGCAACAGGTGGTTAGCACTAGTGTTTGATTTCCACGTGTTGGGATTCAATTTGGGTGGGGTGGCTTCCGTCCGTTGGTTTCAACCCATTACTGCTCTCGTATGTGTCCTCTCGTCTCAACCGCTTTTAACAACAATTTCCTTTCTCTTATCTCGGCCCCGCTAAAAAGAAAAAAAAAAAAAGAAGAAAAAAAACACACTAAAACGTTGCACTCCAATAATTATTGTGTCAAAATTTCCCTTCCTAAAATGATACATAGCACTGTCTACTCACTGTATTCTGCAATTTGGTCCCCCTCCATTTCCATGTCCATTATTAGTGCAGAGAGGATCCTTATCTCCGCGTAACACCTTCACTGTCAACCGGATCTTGTTTCTGCGGCATTTCTTAATTTTTTTTTTTTTTTTTTTTAACTTATCTGTAAGTTATGATTGAACCGGTGAATTTAAGATTTGTAATACTTAAAAGCAAGGTTAAAGGTATTTGTATAAGCTCTGATTTGGACAGTGAAAATATAAAATTCTGTAGTTTAGGTTGAGATAAAACCAACACACACACACACACACACACACACACAAGAATGGGAATTGGAAATATATTTTTCTAAATAATATAAAATATTGTATTTCATGTAGATGAAAAATTTTTAAGTTTATTTTATGTTGTTTTATGGAAAGGTTAAATATATTCTTAAAATTAGAGAAAAAATTACAGACGAAAAATTATTAAATTTCCTACAAATCCTGGAGTATTATCTTGTAAATTGTTTAAAAAAATGAATTTAGCATGCCCACGTATTTTAAGAGGATTTTTGCCATATTATGGCATAGTTATAACATTTTAACTATATGATATTATATTTTATTTTAAAATATTTGATTCATATGTTCTTAAATATGGGAATGGCCATAGTTGGTCTATAATTATTTTTGTATTTTTATTTAAATATATTTTTAAATTTTATAAATTCTATCACCTTCATTTTACAAATCTCACACTAACAAACACACATATATTTAATAAGAAAAACTGAAAATTAAAAACTTAAAAAAAAAACATTTTTAACATGGCCAAACAGCACCTTAAAATAAGCCCAAAGAAAGAAAGGAAAAAAAAAAAAAAAACAGCCTGGAGGAAAACAACATATTTGCTTATTCATTCTTAGGAATCCTGTGCTGAGGCCTTTTTGGTTAACACCCGGAGCTTCGCACAAAACGCAATGGCGACAGTGGGGACCCGGCCTAGAGCTTTATTGCACGCGGTTACCACACCGTCAACGCCACCTAGCGCCGTCACCAACCACCCCATCACCACCACCACTGGAGGCCATCGCTTCATTACTTCTGCAGCTGCCTCGGTAATCACAGCTAGCTTACTCGTTAATTTCTGCTTTGCTCAAAACGTGGGTGTATTATAAAATATAAATATGCGACCGACAACTTCAATTTTATTTATTGAGGCTGGCTATTTTTGTCAATTAATATTTTTCTGAATATTAAACTGGCAATAAATATGAAAATAATATTGAATAATCCTCAGTTTTTTCAAATCTAATGACATTTAATAATATTGAATAAATATGGAAATATATCTATTTTTTATTCAATGTATTATAAAATTCAGAACAAGTACGAGAGAAGTGAAGCGAGTATAGAAAGAGAAAGTAGAATAAATATTTTAAGATAATAACAATCTCTTTTTTCTTTTTCTACACCGTTTTCTATTAACTGTCTCTCCAATTTATAGAAGTATAAAGTGACCCTTAAATTACATGACATAAATAAGAGACAATGTATCTATACATCTATTTATGAGGAGAAGATGTATGTATCTACGTATACATTGAAGAAGGAAGAATGTATCAACATTATACATGTATACATTCATGAGGGGAGGATGTATCAACATCGTACATGTATACATTCATGAGGGAAGGATATATTAATATGGATATGACTTTACAAATCCCTAGATGAATTTGGACATTCATTAATATTTAATATTTATAACACTCCCCCTTAGATGTCTATTACTTAATGTGCCTCATTAAAACCTTAATAGGAAAAACCCGGTGGGACAAAATCCTAGTGAAGGAAAAAGAGTACACAATATTTGTAGTATACCTTTGTATGCTGCCTAATTAAAAACTTTGCTAGGAAAACCTATTGGGACAAAACCAATATCAAGGAAAAAATAATAATAATGCATATCTTTTCTTCCCCTCATAAAAATATTATTTAATGTCCTTGAGACGACGCATCCCAATTTTGTACACTAACTTCTCAAAAGTTGCTGTTGGTAACGCTTTCGTAAACAAATATGCTAGATTAGCACTCGAGCGAATTTGTTGGACATCAATATCACCATTTTGTTGAAGATCGTGAGTGAAAAAGAATTTTGGTGATATATGCTTTGTTCGATCTCCTTTAATGTAGCCTCCCTTTAACTGAGCTATACATGCTGCATTATCTTCATATAATATTGTTGGACCTTTTCTTCTAATATTAAACCACACATCTTCTGGACATGTTGAGTTAATGATCTTAGCTAAACACATTCTCTACTTGCCTCATGTATTGCAATTATTTCTACATGATTTGAAGAAGTAGCGGCTAAAGTTTGTTTTGTTGAACGCCATGATATAGCAGTATCTCCACATGTGAATAAATAACCCGTTTGAGATCGAGCTTTATGTGGATCAGATAAGTATCATGCATCTGCATAACCAATTAATTGTGATCTGGATTCATTTGGATAAAATAACCCCATATCAATAGTCCCTCGAAGGTATCTAAGTATATGTTTAACACCGTTCCAATGTCTTCGTGTTGGAGAAGAACTAAATCTTGCTAATAAACTCACAGCAAATGCTATATCAGGTCGTGTATTATTAGCAAGATACATTAATGCCCCTATAGCATTAAGATAAGGTACTTCAGGACCTAGAAGTTCTTCATCATTCTCTCGAGGACGAAATTGATCTTTCTTCACATCAAGTGATCTCACAACCATTGGAGTACTCAATGGATGTGCTTTATCCATATAAAATCGTTTTAAGACTTTCTCTGTATAAGTTGACTGATGAACAAAAATACAATTTGTTAATTGTTCGATCTGCTGGCCGATACAAAACTTTGTTTTTCCTAAATCTTTCACCTCAAATTCATTCTTTAAACAATTAATTGCATTTTGGAGCTCTTCAGGAGTACCAATAATATTTATATCATCAACATATACAATAATTATTACAAACTCTGATCCAGTTCTTTTTATAAAAACACATGGGCAGATTGGATCATTTTTATAACCCTCATTTAAAAGATACTCACTAAGGCGATTATACCACATTCGCCCAGATTGTTTTAATCCATATAAGGATTTATGCAATTTGATTGAATACTTGTCTCGGGAATTTTTACATGCTTCACGCATCTTAAATCCTTCAGGGATTTTCATATAAATATCTATATCAAGTGAGCCATATAAATATGCTGTAACAACATCCATCAGACGCATTTCTAATTTTTCATGAACTGCCAGACTAATAAGATATCTAAAGGTGATTGCATCTACTACAGGAGAGTAGGTTTCTTCATAATCAATGCCGGGTCTTTGCAAAAATCCTTGTGCAACAAGACGTGCTTTATATCGCACAATTTCATTTTCTCGT